TTCCAAATAACAATTCGTATTTCCCACAGGACAGAGCCATTACAGAAGATTAAAAGTGTTTGTTTATTTATTAGGGGTGAAACTGCAGCCGCATTCATTTTGCTTTGTGTTCCCCAGAGATGATGTATGTGCTCCCGGAGGCTCTGACTGATCGCCCGCACTGTAGCACGCTTTCAGACAGCACCGCAATGGCGTTTATATCTTTTTGATTGCAAATTATATAATCCTTCATAGTTCTTTTGTGAGAAATAATGCAGCCCTTTCTTCTTAGGTGCTCTTTTCTTGACGGCGTGTTTCAGAAATGATGTTTTTGGGAGGATGTTTGTTGTTTTTTTTTGTTGTGATCTCGTTCTCTCTGCTGCAGTACACACTGCGTCCACTTCACCGCAGTGTCCTTTCTTATTCCTCTCGTTCTTTCTCCTTTCTCTTTTTGCTGTCTATGACAAAAACAGGGCCGCCTGGAAAATTAATGAGCACGCTGCAAATAGAGAGAATGCTGAGCCCCACGCACACGTGCACACACACACACACATACACACACACACACACACACACACACACACACATACACAGGCCTACCTGGAACATTTCCATTCACTTTAGTGCAAATAGGCCGGGGAATAAAGCAGGCTTGTATATGTTTATTGTTTCAGACAGGCACAAAGGTGCAGGGCAGCCGGCAGATACAAACAAGCCAATATGAGTCGTGTCAGCAAAGTGCCTTCAGCTAGCACACGCTCAGATACAGGAGCGGCGAGCCTTTGTTTCCTCTGTTTAAACTTCTGCTTTTTCATTCGGCGGCGCACGCACATACACGGAGGAAATCATTTCAGCAGCTTGTTGTGCACATGTTCCCGCTTTTCGGGAGCAAATTCAAAGACAACCAGCGGTCAAAGATGCAGGGTCTGAATCTTTGTAGGGATTTAATGAGGTGGATGAATTCCAGTAAATTCTCTAGTTCTGGTGCAATGCTGAACATACAGGAACAAAGCTAGAAATACACTGTAAAACAGCAGCACATCAATGCATTTCACAGTATTTAACAGTAAGTTTTTACAGTACAGTATTTTATTCATCATTTTTGCCTTGTTTTTTATGCTGTAAAATGCTGTTGACAATAAATGCCAAATATACATTTTTTGGTTATGTCTGTGCAAATTATAAGCAAAGTTAAAATGTCTGTGAAATGTGTATTTGCATTTTAACAAAGCATATTTGAGATATTCTGTGCATATGCATGGTCAATAAATATCTTCATTGATATTGTTTTTTATTAACATATTTATAGCTCTGGTACAAAGTTTGTAAATTGACTGTAATTTACTGCCTACTGAGTTGCTTTACTTTTATAGTTTTTATTTAAAAACAGAAGATTACTGTATTTTAATTACAGATTATTACTGTAAATGTACAGCAGAATGCAGCTACATCACAGTAATCTTGTGGTGCAGGTGACTATTCAGTCATAGTATACATATGGTACAGTAAAACACTGAAAAAATTACTTAATTTGACAAGAGTCATATGTTTTTAAATGTAAATAAACAATAAACTACAACAAAATCAGAAAAATTATCATTTGCTGTGCTATTACAGAAAATAACTTCAAATGAATTAACAATAAAATGACAAATACAGTTTTTTACTGTCAAAAAAGTTAAATATTGTGAAATCCTGGCAACAGTTAACAGCATAGGTTGGCAATATAGAGTACAGGACACAGATCTGTTAGCCACTATAGTGGCTAATCCTCACAAATCCAGTGGTGTTATAAATGCTAGACTTTTTAGATGTGAAGCACCTCATGAATCTTGCTTGTATCTTTGTTAAAAAGGCTTTGAAGATCTCTGAGACTTTTGATCTCTGTTATATTGTACCTCATTATAGCACCCAGAAAGTCAGCATTCAGGAAATCAGAAAACACTACCAGCACAGATTAGATGTTAGATACATCTACATGTCCTGCAACATCTAGGCTGACTTCACCTGTTCCCCTTGAACTCTTGTGTAAGTTTGGAAGGTAATACACAATTATTTATTATCACCCACCGCTAATTCTTCAGTGATACGAAGCTGAAGTCAGATATTAACCAGCTTCTTGTTTGAATTTTCCCGTTCCACCTTAAATGGAGCAGCAGTTACATTCTGGTGCTTCAGGCATCAGCACTGCTGGGCTATTTAAGGTGGAACGGGAAAATTTGCTAGCTAGCTACCAAGACATTAGCATGATATTAGCGATTCTTAATGCTTGTTATGAAGAAAACGACCATAATACACTGAAACAACATTAAACTAAGATAATACAATGATTATCGTAATTTGTTGACGGAGAAAATACTTACATTTATGGGTTTCTTTGGTCGATCACGCAGCCGTCTTGCCGTCATAAGACTCCGTTTGGAGTGTGACTCTGAAAAAGCTCCGTTTGGAGGGCCATGTAGCCCTAACACTTCGCCCTACCCCTCCATTTCAACAAAAATCGGGACACCCTACCCCTAGACGTGAACGCGCAAAACAGAGGGCTAAGGGCTGAGTGGTAGGGGTGAGGGGTGAAATGGGATTGGGCCTTAGTTACTCAGCTAACACTAAGCACAACTACTAGCATACTAGCTAACACATGCTGTGTTGAACTAGTGCTAAACCATTCTACAGACACTAACGCAGCCTATATGTTGATATTTATGTTCAGAAGTCAACATTAGGCAGTAGTAAGGGTATGTAAGTGTTATTGTATACTGGATTAGAAATGTGTAGTCACTGTGTGTGCTAGCTGGGTGTAGCAGAGCGCAGAGATGCTGCTTCACAGCTGAGACACTTGTTGGCCTTGTTGTGTTGTTAGACCACATTTGGCAGTCGGTGGATGAACAGGGCAGAATTTAAGCATGTTACCTGTAGAAACCTGAGCCGCTGATTTATTTGCAGGTGGTAGGGGTTTTATTGGCTTAGCGTCTCTGTGAGAAAAGGAATTTAGCTTGGTCCAAAGCCAGAACTTCTGGTTCTCACAGCAAATGGTTTGTGTTCGGGGATTTTAGGAATAAGTGCTCGTTTACAGTTAATCTTCGCATTTAATCTTAGTACAGATATGTCAGTCTGTCCTGTTCTGGACTTCTTTCAGCCACAAGAAAGATCTGTGATACTTTATATTAACTTTTTCCTAATTTCATCAAACTATCTCTATGGTAAAATAGCTAAGGGCTTGATATGACAAGGGCTATTCAGTCTGAGCATATTAAATCCAACCTGATATTTCATATTAGTGTCATACTGTTGTCAAACCTGGCACAGAGACCCCTTTGGTTAAAATCACACACTTAAAAAGAAACTTTACTGCTGGAAAGTTAACTGTTTAATTAGATGCTTCTTGTAGCAGTGCTGTGACCCAAACCTGCTGTCCACTGGTTTTAAAATAGTCTTAAACAAGTTTCTTTTTATGATAACTCATACTGCTTTCAGGCTCAGCATTAGTTTAATACACTGCACCATAAATCCTTTTTCCTGTGTATTAATTGTAAGACTGTTGGTATCTTTTAAAAGTTGATTAGAGTGGCAAATGCAGCAACAGAGCATGATATAAACTAAGTATAATTTAAAACAGGCATAATCAAAGGTTTTTATTTTGGGCGGCCGAAATGCAAAGTATGTTGTTGGCCAAAAAGACAAAATAATGTACAAATATATGATGTAAGCAGGTTTCATATCCCTGTTGTTGGAAGAAAAACCTGTATCTTCAAAATGGTAACTTTACAGGAGAAGGAAAAAACCTACTTTACTTTTAATGTAAGTCAATGGAACCAGACTTTTTTTCCAAGTCGTTTTGGGTCGTTTTTTTTGGTCCATTCATCATGAAATTTACATACAATGTAAAAGGCAACAGGCATTTTCAAATTATGTCAAAAACTGAAAAAGCAAAAATGGAGATACAAGGTTTTCTTCCGACAGCAGTGATATAGTTTTTAGATATATGTTTTATGGCACTACACTATAGTATGTTGCTGAAATACTTCAAAATACACTTTTAAAAGGAAGATCAGAATTCAAAAAGTTACAGTATGTATGCATAGTATAAAAGTATGTGTGTTCTCCTATTGGGTGGGGGGTGTGGTTAGGGTAACTCCCTGGCAGGTTAATTAAACATCCTAATGGGTCAACAGTGGCCCCACTTTGGGCAGCCCTGCTTTAAAGTAAAAGACTTCAGGTTAGTGAACTTGTATAACTGAGTGTGAAATAAAGGAATTAATATCAATACATTAAGAAAATTTGTTTAACATAGTTTAAAAGTAATATCAGTAGAAATCACTCACTCAAGTGAGTTTTTTCCAATTAAACTTAACTTCCAGATTCAGCTTAAACAAACTTAACTATGTTTAATCTCTCCTGAAATGATCCAATTTCCTCTCCCCATCTCTTTCAGATCAGTTTCCATTTTTAAATTAGCATATAGCCTATCATATTTTGACTTTCAATCTGTGAGCCTTTATTTTTATCATCTGAGCCTTGGTGAAGCCCTTTTATGTCACTAGTTTCTCTTCTAAAGGGTTATTAATGTGAGGTGTATGTGAGATATGCATGTCTGTGTTGAACAGCCGTTGCATTTGAGTAATACAGATTCAATGCAGTTCAACCTCAGATCCTTACATCCTGGAAATGCTGCATGTAGATCACAGGATCTGTGTGTGATACTCTGCAGATTTTAATAGCAGTACCATCTAACTTGAGTATGTACTGCCACCCAGTGGAGGGATGGAGACACTTATGCATTATGAAGTTAAAGCTGATGGTTTATCTTTTCTGGCTTTGTTTGTTAATTGAATGTCTGTGATGTCTGTATTAGATAATTGCTTTTAAAGGTAACAGGGCTGTTATTTTAATCACAGCTTCCTGCTGGTTTCATGCTACTACTAATAAAAATAATATTAATATTAATATTAATGATCAGTGCTTAGTCATTACTGTAGAATGTCTGTAAAATGACTAATCTAATGCCCCTTTTTCGTTCTCAGCCTACCTCTGAGGTTTTGGGTGAACGTGATTAAGAACCCCCAGTTCGTGTTCGACATCCATAAGAGCAGCATCACGGACGCGTGTTTGTCCGTGGTGGCGCAGACCTTCATGGACTCCTGCTCTACGTCTGAGCACCGCCTGGGCAAGGACTCGCCCTCCAACAAGCTGCTGTATGCCAAGGACATCCCCAGCTACAAGAGCTGGGTGGAGAGGTGAGAGGAGGCCAGTGTGTGTGTGACTGCGTACTTGTTTTTGTGCATTTTTAGGACAAAAATGAAAAGCAGAGAGAAACAGGGGTTCCCAACAATGTCAGGAGCAACAAAATACTCATGAGTTTGTAAAATTTGAATTACATAAACATACTTAATATATATGGGACAAATCACTATTACATACAGGCACTTATATATGGGGCATGTTATAATTACTACATATAGGGCATGTTATTATTACTACATATAGGTGCTGACATATACAACACATATGGGACATATTATTATTATTATTATTAGTTTATATATATGGTTATATACAGTTGTATGCCAAAGTTTGGGCGCCCCTGTTCAAATGACACGTTTTGTTGATTTTCTAAAATAATAATAAGTTAACACAACCTCCGCAGAGAACACACGCCTGTACATTTTAATGTACAGTTACTGTTTATTTCCTGAACTAAACATATTGGAAAAATTAAACATAAACTGTGGCCTGTGCAAAAGTGATAGCACATGTTATATGTTATGCTTTATGTTCTCTAATATGTTCTAATAACTCAGCAAATACATACAAATTGTGCCTTAGCATTTGTGTGTTCTCTGTAGAGATGTGTTAACTTATTTTCACCTAGAAAATCAGCAGAACTTGTCATTTTACCGGGGTGTTCAAGCGTTTGGATACAACTGTATATAAACTACATATGGAACATATTATTACATATAGATACTTACCTAACTATAATGCACACAGGAGATATATGACATATTAGTAATAGGTACTCATATATAATACATGTGGGACATATTATTACAGATAGGTACTTCTACATAATGCATATAGGACATACAAAGCGTTGTTATGTGTCTATACTGTGTTTTAGTCTCTATTAGTGCAATAAGGCCACATATTTTGGGATTTAAAGAATGCAGCATTTACATGAACCACTAATCTCATTTTAATTACTGGGGTTGAGTTTGATTTAGGTGTAAGCATAGCAGTATTTAGCTGTACTAACATCTTGACTCCTTGAACTGCATTTTCCAAAAAAAGCCCTTCAATTCCTCACTCTCATAACTACATAACTCACATAATAGTTTCATAACAGTTACTGAATAGTAAGCGTTAAGATTAATAACTGGATAATAAGCCTACAGGGTAAGGGGTTAAATGGAATACTCACATAAAGACTGTGTGTGTTGGGGTGGGGGGTGGAGGTTGGGGCGGGGGGGTGCTTCAGAAGAGTAATGATGTGCTAACACGCTATCCCTCATCAGGCTAATAGCACTCGAAGAGTGATTGGATTCTTATAATTCAAGTGCTTTAATTGCAGTAAATGGTAGCTGTCAGAGACCGCCGTACGTAATGTACTACAGTAGAACGAGGGGGCGCGTCTGACATACAGGACGGTTGCCGGGAGAGGTAAAGTTGGGAGAAAAATGGACTGTGGGTTTCTACCCAAATGAAAAACTGTGAAAATGGATGATGTTGCGTTGGCCTTAATACACACAGCATGCAGTGGTGAGACAGCCGCAACCCAAGAGAGCGAGCTTGAGTGCTCGGTAATTTGTTAAAATGAGACTTTTATTATGTTTGTTTGGTGGGGGCAGTGTTTAATAAAAGATGGAGGTTTGCGAGACGCTGTGAAGCGTTTGTTCTGGCTGCTTTTGCCCTGGGAAATTTTTTCCGCAATTGTAAAATAAGGAGGGAGGGTCGTATCTGAATGGTGAGCTGGGCGCATTGTTCATAATGCTGCATGATCTCATTGCACGCAGGTACCACTGACCATGTTTCTCTGCGCTTTCCAAAAGGAACGTCCACTGGGGGTTGCTAAAGTGCTTTTTAAATTATTTACAGATTTCTTTGTTTATTTTTATTTGTGGCCTCAATGAATGAAGCCCCCTCCACAATGGGAGTTAGGAATAAATAGCCTGTTTGTTTGTTTGTTTTTAACTGAAATCAATAGCACGCTTCACGCGTATTTCATAGGAAGGCTTGTAGCTGTAATTCTGGCAGCGGCAGATAAACGGCTGCTTTGATTGCCTCAGTATGGAGGATGATTGTTTGGCAATGCCGAACCAGTCTTGCCTCTGGCACAAAAAACATGAGCGCGACTCAAGCCAGTGGACAACAATGGAGAAGTAGCTGTGACCCATACAAGCTCAAGTCAGTCCTTTTGTTCAGCTATAGCAGAGACAGACAGCGGCTGGTTTGAGAAGCTGGTGGCAAATGTCTTGGATTTAACATCCTTTTGCCATAAAATGAGTGACGTTTACGTTGTGTGAACATTTCATGATGAACTGACCAATATTAATGGCCCAGAACTGCTTGAAATGAAATTATATATGCGTAAGAACGCTTTTTCCCTCTCCTGTAACGTTACCACATCAGAGATATGAGGGATTGTTTAAAAAGCAGTGCAATTACAGTTATATATCTGTATCACAGCAGTTTGGCAATCTGCAGAGGCATATTAGAGCACATATTTTGCCTTAATATGGCATGAAAATTAAAACACTTTAATTAACTTTAATTAGGACGATATTAAATATTTATTTAAATGGATGGTAGCACATTTTTGAGACTTGGAAAACAGTTCAGACTCAGGGTTTAGGTTTAAATTGGATAAACAGAAGTATTAATAACTGTGCAGAGTCGGTAATCGTGTTTATTCTCCGTCTCTGTACAGAAAAATAACTAAAGCTGAATATACAGCTTAAGTTTGCCTTAGAGTGAAAGTGGAGCACTGTGAGTTTCTATTATGATAAAGGTCTTGCATGGATATCCTGTAGTAAAATCTCTGTACAATTTGTGATTGATGCAAAGAGACAGTGCCTTTCCTTCTGTCACCATTTGTCAGTCAAGCTTCCAGATGAGAGCCAAGCCCATAAACACACGCTTAACCTAAAAAAAACAGGGAGAGGAGGTCAGAGAAAGGAACATATCACATGCTTTGATGTTCTCATGTCTTCATAAATGGTGTTTGCAATGTAAGACGCTTACAAACAGAACTGTCACATTATAGTCTTGCTAAAAATCAAAAGAAATACACAGGACTGTGCAAAAGTCAGACCCTGTTTTATTCGATTTCCTGTCAAAACAGCCGCCATCAAGCATAAATCATTCATTTTTCAGCCGATATGTCTGAGGAGATTAGATAATTCACTTATATGTGCAAGGGGAAAGTCAAACTGAGGCTCCTAACAACTGTGCAAGACATGCTAGACCAGCAAAACTGTCCCCGTCAGATAAACAGCACTTAAAGCTTTCATCTCTGAGAGAGAGGAGAAAATCAAGCTGCTTCAGATCTGAAAACATCCACAGGTGTTTCTGTCCATCCTTCCACTGTGAGAAGACGACTCAGCGCTGTGGGTCTGAAAGGATGTGTAGCTGTCAAGAAGAACCTCACTGAGAAAAGGAGACGGACACATCAAACAAAGAAGCTGAACAATGGACTGACCACCCCAGAGTCCAGACCTCAGCATCACTGAAAGTGTTTGGGATTCTGTGGATCGTGAAAGTGCAACCAACTTGTAAGACTGAACTTCAGAGGTGTGGAAAAATATATCTAAAGAAAAGAATGGAAGCTGTAATCAAGGCAAATGGTGGACAAACAAAATACTGAAAAAAATATGTTTCGTTTTTGAGTTTTACACAGAAAGTTAAATATAAATGTTATGCTTATTTCTTAACGCTAAAAATGTACGAATTATGTTGAATGGCTGTTATGACTAAACATTAAACAAATGAAAGGGTGGTCTCTGACTTTTGCACAGTACTGTTTACTTTCGCCATCTCCATTAATGAAACATAAAAAAATATCTGAATAGTGATTTTGTTTGGTTTTGCATGACTAAAAAATATAATATAAAAGAAAACACAGACTTACTTTGCTCTGCTTTAAGCTTTAGCTCAGCTATAGCTGCTTTTCCTGCATCTCCAGCAGGAAACTTTTCCACAAGTAGAACAGTTTCATGTAAAATGTTTGCCAATGTTTGACTTTTTGCAAGGCTGAAGTCGCTTCTCATTCACCAGCTTCTCGTTTGAATTCTCCCGTTCCACCTTAAATGGTGCCCTAGGCGCCAGAATGTAACTGCAGCCCCATTTAAGGTGGAACGGGACAATTCGAACAAGACGCTGACTTCAGCTTCGCTATTTTTTAATTTTTTGTCAGTTTCTCGTTGCAGATTAAACATATCAGGAAACCAGCTGGAGTGATTATAAATGCAAATAAGCCCATTAGTCTCTGAATTATTAATGTTCGTCTTAAATCTCTCTCTTTGCCTTTCGTTAGCTGCTAGCTAGGCGAGACTGTTGTCTGCGTTGCTATGTGACTAGTAACAGTCTGTGCGCCAACCGTCAGGGTCAAAAGTTGAATTAGATAGATAGACAGATAGAATTAACAGTTGTAGGCTACATTAACTCCAGTGTTTAAGACCATTTATTGTTAAACTGTGTTGAACGATCAGCAGAGCTTTATTTTACTGTAAAGGAGGATTATTTTATTTTTACCTAGAAATCTACTTCTGCTGTGGAGCCACAACAGGGCAGTAAAAGAGCCACATGCGATTCTGGAGCCCTAGTGCAATACAATAACGCATGGAATGTATTGTATCTTGTCTGCTTGCGGTATAGAGTGCTATCAGTTCTGTGCACTCTCTGTCTCTCTCTGTCTTATTCTCATGTTGAACACTCTTTCGGCCCACACTGCTGATAGCCCCACGACGCACTGCAGCATCACACCTGACACTCAAGGTGGTCACTGGGGTCCGGCGTGCCCTGACTCTAAAACAAACCCACGTACACACGCAGTGTGGTGTCCACAAGTTGGCTCAGCGCAGGAATTAAAAATGTAAATGTCCTGCCTTAATTAAAGAGTCGGCGGTGACACTGCAGCTGCTGCTGACAGTGACTGATTGCTCTGAGCCTCCTGAAGACAGAAGGCTGTGTGCGCGTATGCGAACGTGTTTACGCCTGCATTAAGCCCAGTTTAGGTATTTTCGACGTCCTACAGGTTTTGCTGATGCCTCCACTGCAGCTTTTCAAGGGCATCAGCTCATTAACAGTCGCTGCCTCTCGCTGCCTGCTGAAGCCGTGCAGTCAGTGAGAGCAAACATAAGATTGATTCTAGGGGTCAAGACAGCTGTCAGTCAAAGTCCCTGTGGCTCCCTGAAAGGCTTTGGCCCTAAAGCACAGCCCAACAAAGTGAGCTGTTACTTTGAATTGATTGCTAAAGTGAATGTACAGGAGGAGTCACCTTTCTGCCTTGGCCTGTACGATCTAATCAATAACTGCGTTTGTGTTCTCACAGATACTACTCCGACATCAGTAAGATGCCTGCCATCAGCGACCAGGATATGAACGCTTACCTGGCCGAGCAGTCCCGTATGCACATGAACGAGTTCAACACCATGAGCTCCCTCAGCGAGATCTACTCCTACGTGGGAAAATATGCAGAGGAGGTACAAAACCATATGGTGTAGAGACAAACTGCAGAGAATTCAAATCCATCCTAGCAGGCTGTTGTGTACTAAGCAAATAAGACATGCATAAATATAGTATTTTAATTAGGGGTGTCAAAATTAACACATTCATAACGTGATAAATGATTGACGACACTCATTTTTACTGCCAAGACTTTTACAGTAGACACCTATATAAGCTTGTCATGGCAACTGACATAAACCTACATAAGGATTTATAAAGGTTCGTTTTAATAGACATTCTCTGTCAAAGTGCTTTTGTCAACTTTGATGTCAAGTTTACATAACACTTAGGTCAGGGGACACTGACGTTGGGTTGGGTCATGGGGTGAAATGCCTATAATAAGTGGAATAAGTGTTTAGAAATGGTCAGTTCTCACGAATGGCTGTAGGTGTTATGTAGCCTGACGTACAGTAAAAGTGTTAATTTTCTTCATAGCATTAATGCCTTTTCCTAGTTTGACCCTTCGAACCATCCATAGTTCCAACCTAAAGCCCAGCTCTTTGCATGCTGTATGTTTCTGCAACCACACCCCCCTCATGCAAATGCAGCTTTTAAATAGAAAGTTCCGGTCCCACTTTATATTAAATGTCTCTAATAACTGTGTAGTTACAAGTGAATAACATATGCAATAACAATATAACTACTGATGACTTAGCCAGTGTTACTGATGGATTACAGAAGTACAGCCTATGTAATTACACATGTATAAACTTCATGTTATGTAAAACATATTTCCTTTTACTGCTGGAAAAGACTTCTGATCTGTAATGTATCAGGAAGATACACTCATGTAATTACATGAGGCAAAACTGAAGTTGATACACATGTGTAATTACATAAGGTGTACTTCTGCATTCCATCTGTAACAGTGACTAAATCATCAGTAGTTACACTGCTGTTGCATATATTGTTCACATGTAACCACACAGTTATTAAAGACACTTAATATAAAGTGGGACCAAAGTTCCACTGATGGCTCTCTTTACAAAACCAGCTACTGCCTAGCCAAGAATTAGTTTATCATCAAGCCATCATTTACAAGCAAACACACAGCTAACGCAGAGATATCCGTAATTCAGCAGACTATGCTGGACAGTGCCTGTCGGAGACCTACGGAAAAATCAACGAGCAACAAACTAACAAAAGCAACAGCAAAGTGGCTGTATAGCTTTAACAAAGTGGTCTGCTTATTAAATGAAAAAGAATCTCTCTACAGGGTCAAAATTTGAGACAATAAGACAAAATGCTCTGATCAATCACAATTATTTGAATCAGTTGACAGCCCTAATATTAATGCTATATTTGTATGGTCTCTGTTTAGCACAGTATATTAGAACAACTGTGAATGAGAGCAATGAATATCAGTGCTAATACTACTTTATATTTATTTGGCCCCTTTTGTGCACAGTACATTACAACAAACTAGCTAAGAATAACAAGAAAAGTATATGACCCATATAACGCAGGCCTAGTGAATGCAAGTGTTTAGAAACTGACCTATGCATAGTATTCTATTCTTAATTCTAAGCTATTCAGGCTGTTCATGCAACCTTTCTACTACATGCACAGCGAAATCCCCCGTGTTGAATTAGCTCTTGCAGTGCTCATTTGCGTCCAGCTGAACTTAAATGAACACTGTAGGTGTTAGTTCTACACCACAGGTGTTAATCCAACACTGGGGATTTCGCTGTATGGCTGAAGCAGCTCAACTGCTTCTGAACTGAATGTATGCAAGGTCACTAGATTAAAATATACCTATACCGGGAGCTGAACAGCCCTGATGTAATTGGAGGAACAGAGTGATGCGGTTTGTCGTTGCATGACTGACGTGCCCTTTCCCTCCCTCCGGCAGATTGTGTGCGCGCTGGAGCAGGATGACGCTGCCAGGAAACAGAGACTGGCCTTGAAGCTGGAACAGGTGGTCGCCTTCATGAGCCTGGAGAGCTGAGGACCACGTCTCCCAGAGCGCACTGGGAGATCCGTCAGAAACCGAGCCGTGCCTGAGCGAATACCTGTCCATCTATCTCATCTCTTCTGTTTTCGCAGCCCACTTCCTTTTATCTTCCCGAGAAAAAAAACAAAACACAACCAAGAACCTGCATCGCATTAGCTCTGCTTCCTAGAAGAGTAGAGAAGGAGCCATGGAGCTGGAGACTACTACATTACCCATGATGCAATGGGAGGGGAGGGGGATTGGCTCCTGGCCCCTGGAGGAGAGAGGTGGCTGCCTGCAAAACTCCACCTCCGCCTCGCTGGCGTCCTCTATCCTTCTTCCCCTTGAAAAGAAATGAAAAAGAACAAAAAAAAAAAACTGTTACATTTATGTTGCCTTCAAAATATAGCTGTTAAGCAAAGTGTTTCAAACCACAATGTTGGGTGTCGATTTTGTTCTGACTTTTATGACTAGGGTAGTGTATGACGCTACTGTAGAGTCCAGTCAATTGTAGTACCAAAACACAGAGAGAATATGCTGTTGGTACTGCACGGTTAGCAGGACTGCAGACCAGATGGGTCACGGAGAAAAAAACAAACAAAAAAACAAAACAAAAACTTGAAACCCAAGAAGATTTGTGTAGAGTTTACAAGACAGAGGTCCCTATGTTCTACATATCTGAGTGCGTTGAGAAAGAACAGTCACACTGCGAATGTCTCTCTCTGCTGGCGTTTGGAAACTGGGGGCGATGCGTGTTTAAACCACTAAGGTTCACGGTGCGAGAAGGGTGGCGCTTTCGGCCTCTCCTGACTCGTCCGGGACCTAAATGACTGTGAAACTTTTGAGTGTAACTTTCTGGCGTTCCTGCCATTCTCCTGAGAACATTCTAGCATTCGTCCAGCTTCAGCACATTACCGAACTGAACCATCTCTTACCATGACGAGCAGAAGAAAAGCCAAGGTTTGAGCGCCTCCAGCGTAAGCACACATACACACACGTACACAAACCTGCAGTCCGCAGCACGCAGAGACCTTCATCGCCTCACTCTCCGCAAGCCTGGCCCTCTCGGAGGGCTTTCTGAGTGAGGAAGAAGGTCATTCTCCTGTTAGTTACAAAAAAAAAAAAAAGCACATATTCTGTAGCTGCCTCAGATTTCTAACCTGGACTAGAGCTAGTCACTTATAGAAGATTGGATTCTTGCTCTAGGAGGACATGATCAAAGTGTATGTGTATGAGAGAGAGAGAGAGAGAGAGAGATAAGAGACAGAGAATGCAGTCATAGTCGTTCACTGCCACAGTCTGCAATTACACAAAACACTCTGGAAGACTAGAAAGATCCGCATAAAATTGGTCAGCAGAGAAACCAAAGGAGCTTGATTTAAATAAACAGACAGGCGCAAACAACAAGGAGATATTAAAGGCTGACGAAAAAAGAACCCGCCATCCAGATTCCAGACTGAAAGAGAAAAAGATGCCTACTGTTTGACCTGGCAGAACGAAGGGCGCGCAACCAAAGGTCTGTCTGCCGTCTGCCATTTGATCCTTCTAGCAGCACAGAGCCTCTAGTCACCCTCCTGGATGAGACTGAAGTTTTTCTTTGCACACGGTGGAGTCCCTGTGAGGAAACCCTGACCCTGAGAGTAAGGGCTCGCTCCTGCTTAAGTGTACAGTCCGTTTTGAGGCGTTCTCATGGCTTGGCCGTTTCTCAACACGTCCCGACGCTTCTAGGTCCTCGGCGTGGTTGCGGTTGTCGTCTGGGGCGAGTCTTAAAGCTTTTAGGGGCCCCGGATAACAACCTCGGCCATGCAGCGACTCACGACTGCCGGCTGTAACCTCGACAAAGGGACAGAGACCATCGAGCTGCCCTGTTGTCCTTCCTTTGACCTTTCTTTTGCCTTGACAGAGTGCTCCAATGTGGTGATTTGAATGTGCGGGGAGACCAGCCGTGGTCCACCTTGGGTACTTTATTGGCTTTTTAAGCGCATGTACTTCAATTTAAACTTCGTAAAAAAGAAAAAAAAAGGAAAATAGAGAAAAATAAGCCTTGCTAAATGATGATGTGGATGTGTTCTTTTCTTTCTTTTGCTTGGAAGAACAAGACGGAAAAAGTGGACTGTCATCTAAAAGCTGCAACTTCTGTTAAGGTGGAACCTTTATCCCGCTCACCCGTTCAACGGTCATTCTCATGTTTCGTGAAAGTGTTAAATAATAATAAGACGAGATTTAAATTGATACCTTAAACAAATATAGTATATACCCTTGCATGTTGACCTATTTGGATGTTATGAAATGGAACTGCCTTGCAAAGCTATTTATCTAATACTACTAGGAATTTCTAAATAAATAAAAAAACAAAACACTTCTTTTAGACGATCATGGATAGTTGTTACGTCGGCATCCATCCCTCATGCAGAAATGTCGCAGTCCCTCAGGTAGATTCTCTTCTGATGAGTTGTCAAGCTGCAGTTGACCGCTTTCATTCATGTTCATGTTGAACAAATGCACAATACCTTTTTACTATAGCAGTACTAGACCATGAAAACCAACACAAGCAGAGATTCTCTAAAGCGTCCATCAGTTGTGTCCGAGTTTGTTCGGTTGATTTGCGTTTGTTTCTTTTCTTTAGACCCCATCTGACCTGACGATTTCTTGACGAGGACTATTGTACTGACCTTTGATTTGCTTTTTTGATTTCTATTTTTTTATGGACTTTTTTTTTTTGGCTTATTGTTACAATAAAGCATCACATGAGTGTAAATACATAGATCCAGATATCAGCTGAAAGTTGTCTAGAGAGGTAGTGAGATGGCAGTTTTCGTTTCGTTTCTCTGCTTAATTTGCTCATTTTTTTTATTTCTTTAATGTCTTGACTATTTTGAGCTCTCGAGTGTCCGGCACTCAAAAACACAGGGGGTCTCATGAGGTAGATCTCACACTCTGACGCTTACAGATTTGCCAGGTCTTGACCTCCTGAGGAAAAATCACCCATTTCTGACAAACTGGTCAAAAATGTCGTGCCCATTTTTTTCAAATTTGACGTACAAAAAAACATGAATGTTGTGAAAATCGTGAAACTTGTTCTGTAACTGACCATGCTGACCCTTAAGAATGTATACCTGAGCCAGCAGACGCTTCAAATGAATTACTTCCGATATCTGGTTGAACAAATTGGTAGTAAAACGAGTCTTTGGTAGTATCAGATTGTGTTTGTTGAAGAAAGTGACCGCCCTCGGATGCCTCCATGACTCTACCCCTGTGTTCTGTTTTCTATCCATCTTCCATGCACTGCCACGCGTCGGCAGGTCTGACCCTTCTGTCTGTAAAAGACCTGATAAAGCTTCCACCTTTAACGTTTTGTAAGAACTAAAAATGTCCTTCTAGCTCAGTGTTATAGCCGGTGTTTCAGAGACCCGTTAGAAAAGACTTTTACTATTTCCAGATCTGATGAGAGATAAAGAGAATTATGCTAATAGGAAGAAGAGGAGAGAGAGAGAGAGAGAGAGAGAGAGAGACGGGCAGAAAGGCAAGCTTCTCTAACTTTGTTATAATTAATTGTATACCTGTGTATGTAAATATAATGCATTCCTATTTTGCAGTCAAGGACAAAATACTATTTGTAATATAGAATAAACTTTATTATGAAAAATATGTGCCTTCGTGTATGAGATGCTTTTTTTGGTTGTGCCAACTAAATGCATGTGAGAATGGAGAACGGTGTGTATGTATGCGTATGCAAATAAGGGAGAAATGGGCCAAACCTGCCAACTGTCAGCGATAAACATGCACAAAGAATGGAGCGGGGCCCTTTTTGTGGTTTTATAATTTGGATTTATAACATGTCAATCTGAGGGTATTTACACTCTTATCAAATGAACCAAGTAACCAGGATTACAAGCCCTTCAGTCTCATAGTCTCTCTGCATTTCACAGAACCAAAAGTAATAGGACAGTTCAGCTTCTCCATTCTTGCTTAGCCAATTGAGTGTTGTTGCATCATTAGTTTATCCACAAGAAGCTGACAAAATGTCTAGAGTTCATTTCTAGGTTGTTGCATTCTAGTTAGATTCCAGAGGATGTGTCTGATACCAGTAAATCAGGCTATGATGAAGCTGAAAAATTCGAGCCATAGTCAAAATATTGTCAACAAAAAACAAGGAGCTTAGCACTAACAAACAACCCAGCAGAACATGAATGACCACAGCAGTGGAAGAAATAACTAAACGCATCACGAACACTATCCCTGCATAAATGTCCCATACGGAAAAAATATATGGACATATACTTTTATATATTTGAAATACAATTCAAATGCATTGCAGTCCAGAACTACATTCCAAACACTAAAAGGTCTTTCGGAAGTTACTGAAATAACCAATAAACAAGCACTAGATGTTGGAATACTGCTGTGAGGGTTTGACTGCACATCCACAGAAGCATTAGCCAGGCCAGGTACTGATGGGACATGACTAACACAAATGCAGCGGGTGGTGTGGGTGTGTGTGTGGGGGGGGGGTTGTTGCATAGGGGTACTAAGGTACAGTTTATTAAATCTGCTTTGGCCAAAAAAGGTACTTGGTAGAGGTTATTAAACAATATTAAAATTGAATAATCACAATTCACAGCCATCCAGCACAAGTTTATATTAATTAATTAATTAATTATTTAATTAATATAATTTATGTTACAGAACAGCAGCATGCCCGGTCAGCCACAGCTGCAGAGAAAGCTTGAAAAATGGACATGGTTCTGGTAAAACTGTGGTCTTTCTTCGTTAGAAGAAACTGACGAACGCAGTGGTGCTTAGTATCTACAAAGGGGGCCTCAGACTAAAGTTTGAGAACATATTAATCAAATGTATTTTAAAATACATTTATTTTAAAATATATAGGGAAATATTACACATAGAAATGTACCATACAAAAAAAAGTATTTATCAAAAAAGAAATAGCCAAAATCCTGTTTAATGCACTTTACTGTTTGGATACCTTTTTAAAAATGCAGTTATGATTTGATATCTTGTTTATATGAAATACATTGTGTGAGTGTCTTACTGCATACAGACATGGTTGATGCAACCATGCAATGCAAAATGCAAAACATTCAGTTCATTCAGTTCATGTGTATTTAGTTATACCTGTAAGTTCTGGTAAAAC